TATTGATTTCAGAGAGAGGAAAGGAGAGGGAGAGAGAGAGATAGAAACATCAATGATGAGAGAGTCATTGATCGGCTGCAGCCTGCAACCCGGGCGTGCCCTGACCGGGTATCGAACTGCGATCTCCTGGATCCCAGGTCGACGCTCAACCGCTGCGTCACGCCCGGCCGGGCTGAAACATTTCTTGATTCCCAGGCCAGGATACTGTCTAAACTGCCTGTGAGGAGTTGCTACTGCTCCTTTTGGGATAGTAAGGAGGATGAGTTAGATAGGTTGGTATGTCAGTTTGTGGTCTTTGGTTTCTGATGGTCCTCTTGGTGCATAGGCAAAGAATGATAAGGTCATGAGCCTTATCCTTTCTCTCTACCAACCTCAGCAAACAAGAAATCATAGTAGCTATGGGCCAGAGATGGGTCCCTCAGAGAGAGGAGGGCTGAGCTAGATGTATGGAAGTGGCCAGACTTTATCTTTTCTGGGGCTGTGTTTCATGCCTTCAGAAGTTGGAGCCTCATGAGCTCTCTTACTGGCTTCCTTCCTGCTGCTTGGGGCTCAGTTGTGTTGCTGTGCCAGCCGGAAGGCATTATGGGGCAGATAAGTAAGCCATTGGCACAAGCCCAACAAGCAAAGCTTTACTTTGGTCAACGCCAGCATTTGCAGTTGAGAATTGGAACAGGCTGTGGGCTAGTGAGGGAAATAATACTTCGAAGGGATTGGAGGAGGGGAGAGAAAGAGAGAGAGAGAGAGAAACATTAATGTGAGAGACATCGATTGGTTGCCTCTTGCACACACCTCTACGGGGCGGGGGATGGAACCTGCAACCCAGATACGTGCCCTTGACTGGGAATCGAACCTGAGACCTTTCAGTGCTCGCGCTGATGCTCTTACCACTGAGCCACACCAGCCAGGGCCACCACCAGCCACTTTTTTGAACTTGGAGGGTGAGGTCAGCCTAGCGTGGCCCGGAGTTGGTGCCACCTTGGAGAGCTCCAGCCCTGACTGTTGGAGGAGGTTTGAGGGGAGAGAGCAGGTGGGATACAGATACCTTCAGAAGTGACCTCTTGTGGCTAATCTAGGTACTGCACTCTGCACTGGAGCCTCTCCATCCTTCAAGGTAGCCTGTGCTAGAGCCAGGAGGTGGACAGCTGTATGTGGTTAAGACCTCCCTGTTGGAGACTGTAGAAGCAGAAGGTGCTGGTTACTGCTATTTCCTTCAGGGATTTTGTCTTTTGGTTTCTGAGTTCCCTTAATTCCCCATTGCTTGTTTTTTGCTCTTATTCTGGAGGGCAGCCATGCAAAGCACACTTTAAGCATGGATGTGGATGTGGATGTGGATCAAGGCTGGGCAAACACTTTCATTTCAAGAGGTGCTTGGGGCCATAGATAATGGGCACAGGGGCTGAGAGGGACCAAACTTGAGCAGATCTCATCTAGCCACCTCTTTCTGGAGTCTGGGGCTTTTGCTAAAGTAGGAGCCAAGCCCCTAAGCTGCATTGTCCCTGCTCAGTCTGGATGTTCTCTGAGGCCAAGACAGACTACAGCCTCATGTTTAGGGGTTGTATCTGATTCCTGTTCCAGTTTCCTGAGTCTTGCTAGCTAGGAAAGAAGAGGAAGAAGAGACGTGACAGGCCTCCTGGGCCTTGTCAGCAGTACAGTGGCATTGAGAAGGGGCTTGGGAGTTTGCCACCCTGTAGTTCTGGACCTGGCAAAGAGGGGGAAATGAGGCATTGAGGTGGATGAGCAGTTGGGTTCCTGGACTCTCACACTCTTGTGGCACCAGCCATTTGGACCTCACATTTCACTGTAACTGGTTTTTGATAAAACCTTGGGATTATTAGTTGATGTGTCCAGCATGGTCCTGAAGTCCACATCACATTTATCTCCCACCTCCTTTGCCTTCAAGAAAGCATCATCCACCTGGCCATTGCTTGTTTTTTTCCAAAACACCATTTTAATAAGGAAACAACAGAAATAGAAGATTGTTCTCTGGCTGGAGGCCAAACCCCATATGATACATTACATGTACAAAGTGGCCTATTAGCCAGCACTTGGGCCTCTCCCTAGGGCTCTCTGACCTCCTGTTCCATGCCAAATTCCTCCTCAGACCTCTGCTCCTCTCCGGAATACGCCTGCCAACTCCCCTTATCCCAAAACAGTGGCCAGGAGGGGAGTCTGGCAAGTGGTTGGGGTTAGAGGAGGGACTAGTGGGAAAGAGGATGTTTTAACAGCCAGACAGGCAATCAGAGGGAGGTCTTTCTTTCCTCGGGGTGTAGTGGAGCAGTGGGGTTTCCTGCTTTGGTGTGGAGCATGAATGCCTAGGGAAGTCCAACCTTAGCTTGGGTAGGGTCCCTAAACCCCTTAGGATCCCTTAGAATCATTGCCTCCACTGAGAAGGGACAGGAGCAGAACTGTCTATTCCTTGGGCCTTAGAGAAGGACAAGAGACTTCCTTGAGGGGCTGATGTTGGCATGCCAGGACTACCCAGAGGTCACTGTTGAGAGCAGTTTTGGCCACTGGTGATGGCCTTCTGAGAAGCACCCTGGCGCAGTTTCTGCCATCATCAAGTTAACCCTGCTGCATGGTGCTATATGCCAGGGCTAGGTAGTGGTCACATGGAGAAAGGCGCTCCCACTATGCCTGTGAATTCCAGGCTGGAGGTGCAGGGCATGAAGGAGGGTCAGGAGAGTGCTGGTTCTTGATGCATATGCTCCAGTTGTGTTCTGCTCAGAGGCAGATGTCCTCTGACTTGGACCCAAGGAAGGGTCCTAAGTGGTCAGTGGTACCAAGAAAATAGGCCCTGGTGGCCATCGCAGGTGGGAAAGGGCACAACTTCTTGAGGGATTAGTGGTGTCTCTTCCCAGATGGTATGTACAGGAGGTGGAGGGACAGCAGGAAGTTGGGAGCTCTGCTGCTGGTCTGTGATGCAGGGCTGAGCTGGCTTCCCTCTAGATGGATACTTCATATTCTCTCATTTCCTGCAAAGGAAAGAGACTGCTGGGAGTTGGAAACTTGTATGAAGTTTGCCAGCCGTAACCCACCTTCCCAAGGAAAAGGGAAAGTGCAAGAGGGCTTGATAGGGCCTGCCCAAGGGAGCACAGAATTGGGTCCTAGATAGGGTGTCAAGGCTGGCATGGGTACTTACTCCATTCTCGTAGGTTGGATTGTCAAATGCTGACTCCACGGTGATTCGGTCATAGGGGCGAGGCCGTGTTCGGGGAAGCTGCAGGGGGCTTTTCCCCTGGAGCCTGTGGGACAGAGAAGCCTGTGAGTCCAGAGTGCTGGGAAGGAGTGAGTCAGGTGTGCAGGGTAGGAATGGAAGCCAGACTCACCTGGAGAAGTAGAGGTACACACCTCCCACCAAGAGTGCCATCGCCACCAGTGGCAGGAAGATGGCAGCTGCAATGTGGGCAGCATCCAGGGTGCTGGAGGCAGCAGGTGCCTTGGCGACTGAAAACACAGAGGGTGGGATTGGGGCAGAGTCCCTGTCACGTAGAGCCCACAGCCCCTTATCTCTGCCTAGGGGCATCCCGCCACCAGCTCCTTCCAGCTGGCTGGGGTTAGGGAAGGAGCTTTTCCCAAACCTCTCTCTTTTTCTACCCTCCCTCCTTGGGGAACCTAATGGCCTGGGAGCTGTGAGAACCAGTGGAAGAGACTACTTCCCTGGCCCTCAAGCATGGGGGCTCACCATCCAAGCTGCGGCCGCTGTAGAACCCATCCAGAGAGGCTGGAACAAGAGGGGAGGGCCAAGGGCAGTGGGTGAGCCCAACAGGCCAAATCACTAAGGCAGGGAGTGGGTTGATCATGGGGAGGATTTGTCCAAGGAGAGCCCACCCAGTGTTTGTCTTGGTGTCACCAGGTCAGGAAAATCTGGCAGAGACTGGGGAGACCAAGGGTAACATGAAGGGGGCATGGACAGGGGGTTTTGGTTTTCAACATTTGACATTTGCCAGAGCAGCCCTATGGGCCAGGCAGAGGTTTCGGGGTGACAGAGCACTCACCAGCCCTACAGATGGGCGGGGGATCACTCCAATGTGAGGGATGCCCAGGTACACACTTGATGCTGGCCTGACCCTTCAACACATAGCCAGGGGCACATGAGCAGTGGACAGTAGCCCCCGCTGGGTGTAGCCGCTTTTCAGGACTGCAGGCACCATTCTCGGGGGCACTGAGGCCATGGCATGGCCTGAGTTGTTCCACTGCAAAGCAGGCAGAGTCCAGTGAGGGTGCCCGGCCCTAGCCTCCAGGCAGCATCTCTCCCCTCTTACCCACTTGACACTTACAGAGACATTTGGGGGCCCGATCGCTCCACTTGGGGCTGCTGGCTTGGCGGTCATGGCAGGTGAGGATGGCACTACCCGTCAGCACAAAACCTTGGTCACAGATATACTGCACGGTGGCCCCCACAGGAAACTTGGGGCTAGATATGAGGCGTCGGCTGTGTTCCACATCCCCAGGGTCATGGCAAGAAGTCACTATGGGTGGGAGGTGATGGGGAGGAAGTAGCTCAAGTAGAACTCAACAAAAGCCAGTCCACCCTGGCTTTGTTCCAGGCAGCCAACATCTTTATGCCAGGTAGCTCTACCCTCTACTTATCTGTCACTATGATTTTGCTGGTGTATCCCCTCATCTGTCCCCTTCCAATCCATGGGAGTCAACAAACTGATTGGCCATCTACCAGGAATGAAATACTTGGAGAACTTGGTAGATAACCCTATGGAAAGGTATTGTTTCATTTCACAGATGAGAAGACTGAGGTTATGAGAGGTGAAGGAACTTCAAGGATACCAGCTAATAATAGTTGGGAGTCAGGTTTATAGTCCAAGAGAGAGGCTTGTAGGTTTCATTGGGGAGGGGCATATGGGGAACAGGTGCACTCACCCCTCTGGCAGGAGGGCAGGTCCTCGCTCCAGGTTAGGTCCCACTGGCACATAAGGACACTGGATCCCACCACCTGGTAGCCAGGGTAGCACTGGTAAGTGACGACAGTGCCATGCACCAGCTCAGGCTGTGACGGGCTCTTCCAGCCGTTGGGGATCTCAGGCAGCTCTGGACATGTGTCATTGCGGGGTACCTCTAGGGGCACAGGGGCAAAAATATGCAGACCCTCAGCCAGCACCAAAGCAACTGTGCTAGCCTCCCTTCCCCTGAGGACACTCGGCTCCTACCAATTTGGCCTGGGCCTGGCCTGGGCAAGAGAGCGATTCATTCTCCCCACACAAGGGCCCCTCCTTACTTGTCTCTGACATGACTCTGTCTCCTAAATTCCTGGTTTATCATCTAGGCTTTGACCTTACTTTCAAATACATGTTGGCCATTTTCTCAGTCCTGATAGGGGCCGGGTAAAGTGGGGGAAATGTCACTTCTGTTAAAGATTATCAGAAAGGTAGAATCGAATACCTTTCCTTATCTCCCTATTTTTGTTATGAAGTTCTTCCTGCTGCCTACCAAACCCCTCTCCTGCAACAGAAGGCTCCCTTTCTCCTGCTGGGCCCTGGGGTAAGACAGCGAACAAGACTAGCCTCAGGTGATACCTGGAGAGTTTTCCGTTTTCCCTTGTCAGATAAGAGCCCTCAGGCACCTCATTGCCCTGGCCTCTCTGACTTGCCATGTTTTGGGGTCTGCATTCTGGCATCTCTTCTCCCTCATGCACGGGCTGGGGCAGGGACAAACTCACCAAAGAAGTGGATGACAAAGCCCTGCTGGTAGCCCACTGCTGAGGTCCCAGGGTCTGACTGGAACTGGATGGTGACATCAGCCATGGAAGTAAAGAGCTTGAAGTGGCCTCGGGGCCCGGAGTACTGGCCCAGGACCCGGGCTGTCAGGTCGTCCCCATCATAGAAGGTAAGTACGTCACCAGGGCCTATGCGCAGCCTGTGGAGGAGGACTGTCATACGAGGGCGGGCCCAGGGACCCCAGGATGTGCTGGGCAAGAGATGTCTCCGTTGCTTAGGAGATGGCTTGGCCTCGCCTGGTGGGCACTTACACTCTGACGTCCAGCATGATGCGCTTGTCCTCCTCCACATGCACACCCCAGATGCAGTCCTGCCCGCGGCCATAGGGCTCCGGCCAGTTTGGGGACAGCACCACGCCGGCCGAGTCTGTGATCTCCCCACTGCACACAGCTGGAAGGCAGGGGAGGCCCGGGAGGCACGTCCCCTCCGCGTTCCCCCCAGTGCCATGTCCTGGGGCTGCCGTCTGCCCACAGGAGTGCCTACCCATTGCTGGGAGTCCCCACCTCTTCCTCAGGGGGAAGCTTAAATGATACTTGCCACTGAGTCCCTGTGGCCCCAGGCTCTGTGGCTGGCTCCTTGGTGCCCACCCTGCTCCCTGCCCTTGGCAGTCCCATCTGCTGGTGCCTACTGACCTCGGCAGGCTGGCTCTGTCTCATTCCACTGAGGGTCATGGGGGTCAACACACTCAATGATGATGGAGCCTTGCTCGAGGGTATAACCAGGGTCGCAGCTGAACTCCACGGTGGTACCCACAGGGTAGGAGGGTGCGCTGCTGCTGAAGTTGCCGTATTTGACAAAGGGCTCATAGCAATGGCCCTGCTGGAAAGCTGTAAACCACAGGGCCCAGCCCAGCTCAGCCTTGACTGGGGCAAACACGGGGGCAAATGTCCTCCTACTTCCCTGCCCAGGGCTTTTCTCATTCTGACTACAAATGTATGTCCTGGGCTTGGAGCAGGGGCAGGAACAGCCCAGAGCACCCATCCCCATTATGCTCAGGAGGCTGTCTTGATCACCTTTTATTTTCAGCACCTAGTTTTGTGCTTAGTACACAGAGGACACTCAATAAATATTCTGAATGAATTGATGCATGCATGCATGAGTGGTTCTAGAATGTCTTTTGGAGCAATTCTCCTTCCCTAAGAATTGGAGCCTTTTTTGCTCTTTAAATTCTAGAGAATTCATTCACTTGGACCAGAGGGCCTGGGTCAGGCAGGGGTCTCCTGCAGATGGGGTAGGAATCCTGGACTTGAGGGGAGGGGTGGGGAGAGAGGGCCTCAGTTCCAGGTGAGCAAGGGATGAGTTGGAAGGAGTGATGATGGAGTGGAGGGGGAGAGTGTGAGAGAAGAGACCCTAGGCCCAAGTCCCTGCTCTAGCCCCTCACCCCTGGTTAGGCCCCATCAGGCTCACCCTCATAACGCAGGGCCATGCCTGCAGCTGCCCCGCTGCTGTCAGTGCTGAGCTCCACAAAGAAGTGTCGGCCAGAGCTGAGCAGACCCTCAATGGGCAAGTACTCCACCTCATAGGAATCGTACACGGGCGGGGCCTCCACGTTGTCCCCATTTCGGATGATGAGCCTGGGTCAGTAGAGTGGCAGCTGGGTGGTGACCCAGGTGGGGTGTAGCCCAAGCCTCTGTACTGTCCCCCCAGCAGGGTATTACCAAGCCAGGCACTCCCATCCCTCCAGGACATCCCCTCACCTGTCATCATCCTCTGCCAGGGAAACCTTCTCAAAGTGTAAATGCAGTCGCTGGCTCTCAGGAGCCTCAAGCAGCCAGTGGCAGGTGAGGTTGTTGCTGTAGTTGCCCGGGAAGCCAGGAGAGACAATGCGGCCAGTGGTGGCATTGCGGATCACTCCACCGCAGGCAGCTGGGAGACAGGGGCAGAACTGTGGGCTGGGCCCCTGACTGGATCCTAGCAGCCTAACAAGCTTTCCTGCCTTTCCCAGCTCTGTACCCTATGCATGGGGCAGCAGGGATCTATGCGTTCGTGGTGCTGAAGGTCAATCCTTTGACCCTGTGACACTGCAGCTTCAGGCAGCCTGGACTCCAGAATCTACCTCCTAACCTTTCACACCTCTGGGACTATTCATGTGCAACTCCCTTGACTGGTAGATCTGCCATGACCTAGCTGTGTGGCCCTGCATCAGTAGCTTTCCCTCTCTGCTGACTCCTCTGGGAGGCTGTCCCAGACTTCCCCCAGGTTTACTTTATTAAAGCCTTTTATCCAGGGCTCCAACCTTCTTGGGTGTATCTGCTACTTCTACCTCATGCCACTTCCTAAAACCAGTTATTGTTTGGGTATGTCCCTTAACTAGGATCCCCTGGGGCAAGGACCAGTCTTTCCAGGCCAGGCATAGAGTTGGTTTTCAGAACTTGTTGAATAAAATGATTGAATGAATGTAAAAAAGAGTAGGGCTAGATCAGGGCTGACAAACATGGCGTGCATGCCATTTACCTCCAAGTTGTGCCCTGAGCAGACACGACTAGCCAGGTGATGGCCTCAAACACTTTCTGAAATAGCATCACTGCCACTGTCATTCCTGGGCTGACCCTTTAGGGCCTTTCCAGCACTGCCTTCTCTGGCCTGGACTTGTCCACTTTTCTAAGGAGAGACTGAGCAGCTCACTTGTCCCCATCACTGGGGACTGCTGAGTTAGATGGCCAGACTCCTGGCAGTTAAGTGGGGCCAGTGAAATGGTCTTAAGCAAGAGGAGTATGGCTGGTTCCAGGCAGCATTTTCCTCTCCTGGACATACAGCTTTAGATCCTGCCAGCTCTCGGACCCGGCTACCGAGACACTGCCTTTGTCTCCAAATGTTTAGGACAGTAGAATATTTTAACCTAATAAACTTCCTGGGGAGGGGGTTGTGGGGAATTTCTTCTTTGCTTCCATACAGAGAGGGCAGACCTTCTCTTCTGCTTATTGTCAGAATGGAATGCCCTTCAGATCTGATCATGCCCTGTCTTACACTTAAATTCCTCAGTGTTTCCCTGTGACCCCCCCACCGCATAGAGTCTAAGCTCAGGTGGCATTCCAGCCCTTTATGGACCTGACTCTCGACTTGGCCTCAGCCTCTCCCCATAAACCCTCTCCTTTGGGCACACTTCACCATGCTTCATGCTTCCACACCTCTGCATGTGCTGTTCCAGGAATCCACTCCACTTCCCTGGGCTAACATTCTTGTAATCCTTCCATGTCATCTCCTTGGGAGGCTTTCTTGGACTCCTCCCTCATTTTGGAGCAGTTCGCCTTCCCGTGGATCCCCATGCACCCCGAGTTCGTCCCATCACAGCACTGTCTGCCCTGAACGTGCTGAGCTGCTTGCTGGGCTCACTAGATGGAGCTCCCTGGGGCCCAGCCCACGTCTGGCTCATTCACCTCTGCTTGTGCCTGGCACCCAGCAAGAGTGTACAGAATGAAACAAGGTTCAAAAGCCCAAGCTAAAAAAAGGAAAAGAAAGGAAAAAAAGCCCAAGCTGCCTTTCATATTGCAAACCGAACACTCCATCTTTCTTCTGCCGGCAAGCCACTGGCAGCGATCCAGACTCCTGTCACCTGTGGCCAGAACTTGGGAGTCTCCTTCCACTCTCCTCCTTTCTCTCATCAGCGTCTCTGGAACTTCTTCTCTCCTCTATTCCCAAAGTCTCTAAGTTCAACCCCACTTGCCTTGCTGGCCTCCCAGCTGCCGGACACCACCTGACTGGCTTTCCTGAGGAATAGTTCTGAGCTCCTCTATCTCCTCTCCAAAAACTTAAAATAGTTACCCACCCTGGTATTCAAGACCTTCCCACTGTCCCCTTCTCAAGTCTCAGGCCTCAGCCAAATCTGGCTGTCTTGTCTGTCCCTTAAATACTCCCTTACCTCGCCTCTGTGTCACTGCTCACACTGTTCCACTGAAATGTCAAGCCTTCAGTGCCACTTCCTCCAGGAAGCCTTGTAAATGCCCAACTAAGGATGATTGCTTTCTCTTCTCCCAGGTCACTTAGGTCTCTTCATTGGTACTTTTTACTCCCTGCTGTGAAAGTTGACGACAGTGCTTTCTTCTTCCCCCACCTCCTGAAGGGTGGGTTCTTTGAGGCCACACTCCCTGTTTAATTCAGCTCTGTATACCTGTGGTGCCTCTGTTTAGTAGGTGCTCACTAAGTGTGGGTTGAATGAATGCCACTGAGGTGTGTAGCCATTTTCTGGCTTCCTTATGGAGGGCCTGTGAAGGTGCTATGTAGCAACAGAGAGCAGAGATTAGCCCCCCACCTTACTCCCCTGTTCAGCACTGAGTCCCTTGGGGCCACTTACCGATGCAGGTAGGCTCCTGGGAATCCCAGAAGGGCTGGGTGGCGTTGAGACAGGTAAGAAGCCTGACACCCCTCAGCTGGTAGCCAGTGGCACAACGGAAGCGGGCGCTGCCTCCTGGGTGGAGGCTAGTGACAGTCACAGCTCCATAAGCTGGACGTCGGGGAAAGTGGCAGCTCAGGAGATAGGCTGCAGAGAGAGAAGGTTGACGTTGTGTGTATGTATGTGTGTATGTGTGTTGAGCGGGTTGTTGAGTCATAGCCAGGGCAAAAGGGGTCTGCCCCAGCCTGCCTAGCGGTGTCACTTGGGGCCAGGGGAAGCATCAGGAGTTCCAGAAAAGAAACTGATCCCTTCCCCAAAAGGTGCCTGTGATATTTCCAGCAGCCTGGGCTCCGTAGCTTGGGCTGTGGCCCAAGGTTTCTAACACTTTAGGCAGGTTACTTAGCCTGTCGGTGTCCCAGTTTCCTCATTTGTTAAGTGAGGTTTAAAATGCCAGCCCACCTACAGGGTTATTATGAGAATAAATGGGATAGTGTTTTATTCAGCTTGGTATCCCTGGAATCCAGATGATAGTACATCTTCAAAAAATGTTATTGAAAGACTTGTAGGTGTGAAAGCACTTGAAATAGTAAAAGCCTATACTGATGTAAAGTATTTATATTGTTTTTCCTGTAGGAGACAAATATGAATTGCAGCAGGAAAGATTGAAGCCAGACAGTAAAAGCTTTCCCAGTGTTCATTGAGAAATGCTAAAAAGCTTGATGGCAAGGGCAGTGGACTTTTTAAAAGACAGGATGGGCAAGGGTGAGGAGGCAAGGCATGCCTTCAGGGAAGTGGGGGAGGGACAAGTTGCTCCGGGAAACTCGGTGGCTTTTGGAATTGTCATACCAAGTATAACCGAATGGTGGCAGCAAATCCTACAAAACAACCTGGCCGTCCCAACTTGGGGCCAAGCTGGGGTGGTAGCTAAAATGGGGTCAGGGCTTGGGTCTGAGAGGTGGGGAGGAAGACACGGAGGGGTCAAGGAAAGAGGCTGAGAGAAGGCTTGGGCTAGAGTCTGAAGACCGTTGGGCATGGTGGGAGGGATGGGGACTGTTTAGACCACTCCTGGTTCTTGGGGTAATGGGGTGACACCAGGCAGGGACTCTGCAGGCCTCTGTGGGCCTTTGTGTGAATAGAAAAAGGAGCTGCCTCTGGGCAGACCAGGGTCCAGAATCAAGTTTTGTGAAATTTTCCCCTGTTCTGGCCTTAGTCGGGTCTGTGAAAGGGGGACGTTGATACCCACTCTTCCCTTTCTCACAGAGCTCTAAGAGAATGGCCAGTGTAATTAGCAGGCAGTACAGGGCAGGGCTTAGGAGGTGGGCTCTGGGGTCAGACTGCCTGGGTTTGAATACAGGTGCCTGCACTTGCTGTGCCACCTTGGGCAAGTTACCTAACTTCTCTGTGCCTGTTTCCTTGTTTACACATCCATTTAGAGTATTGCATACAATGTTGTTACGTGAGAAGTTAAATGAGAGGACAGATGTGCAGTGCCTGGCACAAAACAAACACTGAATGCACCAGCCTGCTGTTTGTAATCTTGATTAATAAAAGCACCTCACACCAGAATGCACCTTCCAGCTTCTAAAATGTCTTCATACTCTTCTTACTTGATGTCTACAATGTGGTTGGGAGGAAGGCAGGCAAGGTAGGGGTTATTCATTCATTTTCAGATGAGGAAAGCTAAAGTTTAGAGAGACTGAGGGACTTGCCCTGATCACACAGCCAGTAAGTGGTAGAGTGGGCACTTGAAGCTCCTGGCTCTAGAACCCACTTGCTTTGCATCTCCCTTCTCCCACCTGCTTCCTCAGGTGAAGCAGAGACCTGGGCTCAGGAGTCAGAGAAACCTGAGGGTAAGAGACAAGGCTGACCTGGGTGGCTGTTCAGAGCAGCCACTCACAATGATCTGGGAAGAAACCCTAGGCCAGGGTGGGATGGGGAAAAGGGTGTGGGGCACTTTACCAGGAGGGGAGGGCGTGATACCCAGGGAGTTCTAGGCCCTGAGCCAGATGTCATGCTCGTCACTTGTACTTATATCTTCTCTGAGAGTTCTTATCACAACTCTGGGAAGGGAGGTCCCCCTGTTTCACAGATTAGGAAATTGGGCTGGGATGAGATGAGAGCAGGAAGCTAGGGGCAGATGATAAAGACCCCAGATTCCATAGTGGGTAAAGTGTCACTTTGCAAGAAGAGCTTCCTCCTGTTGCCATGACGACCGTTCCCGGCGTGCCTGCACCACTGCAATCTGTTGAGCTATTTTCTCCCTGGTGTCTGTTTCTGGAGCCAAGTCCGGTGCCAGGAATGCTCAGCAGGGAAGAGGGGGATGTCTGGCAGGGTCCTCTGCCTCCTCACCCTGCTTGAGGCTATGGGAGGGGAGCTGGAATTGGTTCTGCAGATGACCCCTCGTGGGGCCCCAACCTTGAGATTTCCAACATTATCATGGACAAGTCCGACAGGGGTGTTGGTACTGGGTCCCTTACCCCCTCTTCTGGCACCCTTTTTCTCCAGCCCAGGGAGACACGTGTGTGAGCACATGCTCTTCCTGTTCCCATCTCTGGGATCAGGGCTAATTACAGTCTATAATTAGGGGAATTACACTCATTAGGGAAAGCTGATCATTGACAAAAACTGGGCTGAAGGGGGAGGGCTTCTGGGAGCTGAGAAGGAAGCAGGACTGGGCTAGCTCTCCTAGCCCCTCCTTGGGATCTGCTCTGCGTGTCAGGGCCTCTAACTTGCTGCCTTTCAGCCACCTTTGTCTGGCCCAACAGAGAGGAGGTCCGGGGTTTTGTGCAAAGGAATTTGCAGCAAGAGAGGTTACCATGGCGTGAAATTATGCCTGCTGCTTAGGAGGATTGATGAGCCATTAGGGAGGCTGACTGGGCCGCCTAGATGCTCACCCTTTCCTTAGCTAGCCTCTTGCCTCTGCCAAGCCCCTGGCCAGCCCACCACCAGACTCCCTGCTGCCACACCAGACTGTTCCCCCAGTTTGGGTGGCGAGGTCAGGAAGGGGTGAATGCTCCTCAGGTGGGTTCCAAGCATCCGCATCTTCAGAGGAGTGCCTGCCCTCCTCCCTAGGCTGCAGCCCCCACAGGGCTGTGGAAGTGGTCCATGACAATTCAAGGCAATCCTGTAACTGTTCACACCAATTATTTCCCCATTAGCACTCCCCAATCCGAACTGGTTACCCTGTTGCAGCAGTGCAGGGGATCAAGAAGACTGCCTGGGGAGGGAGGGGCCAGGAGAGATGCTGATGGGGAAGAAGCACAGTCCCAAGCCCCTTCTCCTGTCCCCATCTGGCCAGCCCTTTAATACTAGCTTCTGGTTCCTTCATGGAGCATGTGCTAAGCACTGGACATGCACCATTTTGTTTAATCCTTACCATGACTTCGAGGAGTGTTTTGGTCTCATCTTATAGCAGAGATAAAGGAGGGGTAAAGAGGTCAAATGAACTGTCTAAGGTCAACAGCCAGTGGGGAGGAGATCCAAACACAGATCTGCCCATCTTCTGAACCTGTGATTTAACCATTACATAATTCCACTGCCCTATTTCCAGAGGTGTTCTGAACTGACTGGGGCATGGGCCAGGTCTAGGGAGGGTTATGCAGTTCAGGAAGGTGAGGTTGGTAGCTAAGTACCTCCACGTGGTCGTTGTGAAGCCCCTTGACCTTGATCCCTTTGCAAGGGAGAGGGCTTATAACATTATTGCCTATTTAAGTATCTGCTTCCCCCGAGATTTTGAACTCCTTGAGGGCAAGGATTTGGCTGGTTCATCTTGATATTGCCAGTGTCCAGTACAGGCTTGGCAAAGAGCAGATGCCTAGGAAAAGTATACTGAATGAATGAGTGAATGAATGAGTGGCAGTAGGCACACCTGGGGGTTACCCAATCCTATGTCAGTCTCCCTTCAAGACCTGTTCTCTGCAGGGTGGTAGATGGAGGAGGGAAGGTTCTGGAGGTGCCAGATGTGCGATACTCACCTCCAGTTGTATACAGCTTCACCAGGCACCTGTGCTGTATGTTACTAGCCTTTCCCTGTCTCCCCCTCCCCGCCCTGCCATGTTGTAATGGCACCAGAGACCCCAGGAGGGCAGCCAGTCTGAGCTGGTTTTTCCTCTGCTGCCTGGGCCTACCTTGGTAGTGGAAATGGAAGGTACCAGGCCCTGTAGGTGGTGGGAGGCTCTGGAACCTCAGGGCTGCTTGGTGGGTGGGGCTGCGGATGACTTGGCCCCTCAGCAGGAAAGACTGGTTGGCCAGGGGCAGCGGGTCAGGTCCCCCCAAGCCCTCCACAGTCACCGTCTCCCCTTCCCGCAGGCTGATGTTCTGGACCTGTCGGTGGAATAGACAGAGCAAAGCAGAGCAGTCAGGCTTTTTCCTGCTGAGTCCTGCTGCCCTTAGGTTCCTGCAGGCCCGGGGCCTGGCCAATCCTCAGTGTCCCTTGGGCATTGGAGCCCCAGGCCCTGAGCCAGGCACTTCAGTGCAGGAGGAGCTCATTTAACCTTTCCAGTAATCTTGTGAGATAGGACCTGAAGTTCAGAGATAGTAAGTAAATTATCCAAGATCACACAGAGATTATTAGCAGAATTAAGATTTATAAGCATGTTTGTCTCAAAGCTTTTCAACTACACCAGCTGCTTCCTGTCCCTTCACTTCTCTGGGCTCTGTTTTCTCATCTGTAAAGTGGGGATGGAGCAGGTATGTTGAACTAGATGGTGTCTGAAGCCTGGCCAGCATTGTGAGGTCTTTTTATTTATTTTTTAAAAATTGATTTTGAGGGGGGTGGAGGGAGAAAGAGAGAGATATTGATTTGTTGCTTCACTTATATATGCATTCACTGGTAGATTCTTGTATGTTCCCAGACTGGGGATCGAACCCACAACCTTGGTGCATCAGGATGGCGCTCTAACCAACTGAGCTACCTGGCCAGGACAGCATTGTAAGGTCTTAACCATCAGATCCATGGCTCAGCTTTCCCTAGACTTCCCCTGTTAGATACCTCACAGGCACTCCACACCCAGTCTGCCTCATACCAAGCCACCCTCTTCCCCCAGCCAGCAGCTCCCCTGGCTCCCCATCTCAGGGGATGACCTCACCATCCACCTGCATGCCCAGGTCAGAAACTGGCATCTTGCCTCCTCCTCCATACCCCATATCCAGTCGTTCGGTCCTGTCAGTTGGAGCCCAAATCTGTTCACTACTCTTCATTCCCACTGCCACTTCCCTGGCACCTCACTATTATTGCTCACCTAGACCACTGCAGCAGCCTCCTGGCCAGCCTCCCTGTCTGCAGGGCTTAACCCACTCCTCCGTCCACACCGATACTCTCTGAACTACAACCAGTTCATAGGCCCATCCTGTTGCTGATCATGGTGCTTCTTTGTTTAAATTCTCTGTTGAGCCCACAAAGCCTGTGGTATCTGGTTCAAACTTGTTGCTGTGGCCCTCAAGGCCCTGCCCCACTTGGCCCCTGCTGATGCTGGCTTTATACCTTGAGCCTCCTGTGCCACCACCATTGTACTCCCTCTTTTATTCTTAGTAAACTCTTTCTGTAATCCTTCCCTCTGGTTGTCACAGGTCCCTCTGCCCCCACCCAAATCCTCAGGTCCTTAATCCCTGGAGCATCCTTCTAGGATCTATGTCTCCATTCAAACAAGCAATGACTAGCAACAGGCTCTACCCAGAGGGGAAGTGGCAGTGTGGCCTGGTACAAAGATTGGGAGCCCAGAAATCTGGGACCTCATCCTAACCATGTAATCTTGGACAAGTATGCTGACTATTTGAGCTTCAGTTTCCTACTCAAAATGTGGTCCAGCAGTACCAGCATTACCTGGGAGCTTGTAAGAAATGCAGAATCCCAGACCCCACCTCAGATCTACTAAATCATGCTTTGTATTTTAATAAGATCCCCAGGTGATTCAGAAGCACTGATATTTAAAAGAAAGAAAGAAAGAAAAAAGCTATTCTTTCCTAATCGAGGAATAAAGGCTTTTTTTTTTTTTTTTTTTTTTTTTTAAAGGAANGCAGAAAAAGACTTTGTTTTCTTGAATCTAATTTTAAACCTCTTAGGAAAATTTCAAAATAATCAAGCTTTCCATACATCTTGTGAATATATGTGAACTTGTTTAAAAACTACAGTTATATTTACATTTTTGGAAATTTTCCTTCATGGCCATGTAACATGTTGCATCTTCCTCTTCGCTTCTGGGGGCTTCAGGTTATTCATGGCCTTAGCTTCTTCTTTCGATGTAGCCCACTACCTTGTGGGGCAGGTCTCCAGGCTCCCTACCATGTGGCTTTGAGGCAGGGCCTTCAAGGGCTAACCGCCTGGGTTAGTTAAGTGGCATCCAGTGAGTCACCAAGTCCCTCCCAATCTCACCTTCCAAATATTCCAGTTGGTTCCTCCTCTCTAGCCCTTTGTAGCTGCCTTGGCTCAGATCTCCCCTGCCTGTTGTTTCTCACCTGGAGAATGGCCTTCACACCTCCCATCCCCAACTCATCTCCCAGATTCCAGCTGTCTCAGATCAGATCATGTCTCTCTCCCACCCAAACTCTGTCGGTGACTTCAGATTGCCCAGAGGACAAGGTCCGAACTTCCCAGTTCACAGTTGGCCCAGTGGCTTTGCCAGCCTCATATACCTGTGCTGTAGCCACAGGCTTAGCCTCAGTCCTACCCTCTGGGTATTTGCCTATGCAGGACCCTGCACAGGGTTGCCTCCCCTGCTTCCTCCCCTGGTGCAGCTGGTCATCCTTTCAGATCTCAGCGCCATCATCCTCTGCCTCCAAAGCTCTCCCCACCTGTCCTCTACCCATCTCTCTGTTAAAGCCCTGGGTGGTATTTTGGGTCACACGCCTTCTTATTTATTTATTTATTTATTTATTTATTTATTCTCACTCAAGGATATTTTTTTTCCATTGCTTTTTCAGAGAGAGAGAGAGAGAGAGCGAAACATCGATGTGAGAGAGACACATCGATTGTTTGCCTCCCGCACACACCCCAACCGGGGCCAGGGGTGAGCCTGCAACTGAGGTATGGCACTTGGCTGGAATTGAACCTGGGACCCTTCAGTCCAAGGGCAATTCTCTAACCACTGAGCAAAACCGGGTAGGGCAGAGTCACAAAGACTTCTTCACTGGCAGTCTCAATAAAGATGTGTGGAGAGATGTGTGGGCTGCTGGAGGTACAGTCCTCACCAGATTCCTGTGAACTGAGAAGCCAGAGGAGGCTGAACACAGCCATGTCCAAGGAGACGGCCATACTAGGCTTTGGGCCCCTCAGACTATGGGTGCTGAGAACAGGTGCCCTGAGGACCCCTGACTGGGAGAAAAGACCTGGTGGGTCTCTGGTGCTGAAGAGAAAGCTCAAGAGAGCGTGCTGGGGCAGAAATGCTTCCTCTCCGTGAGGAGCTCTCCACCAGGGCACATTTGGGTGGAGGCTGCCTGACCATCTGCTGGTGACATTCCTCAGGGAATTCCTGCAGCAGGCGGAGGCTGGATGAGGCCCCTTCAAACTTGGAGATTCTGTGATTCTAGAGTTGGGCAAACAAGACTCACACACGTGGAATCTGTAATTATCGAGAGATGCCAGGCAGCATATAATTCTGCCTTAAGTGGCACTGAATGCGTGCAGCAGGAATCCTCCAGGGGGAAGTGGGGGAGGTGCAGGCGGAGGGAAACCGCAGAGCAGAGGGTCTGAGAGCCCCTTATGGGGGCCGGACTGGAAGGAGGAGGAAGGGAGGACATCTCTACTGGGAGATGACTAAGGAAATAAAGGCAGAGAAGTAGAAATGAATTAGCATTTTTTCCTAGTTCCCATAAACATCCCTTTGACCTCTAGCTTCCAGCTCCTGACCCAGCTGCTTTGCTAGCAGCAGCAGCAGCATTGCAACAACAATTACCACTTACAGAGCACCCAAAACATGTCAAACCCTGTACTATTTATGGATAATATTTCAGCCTCACCACAGTTGTAACAGGTAGGTGGTAAAATCTCCATAAGTAAACAGAGAGGTTAAGGAAGTTGCAAAAGGTCACACACAGGTGTTAAGTAGCAGTGTCTTGCTTTGCTGGCGCCAAAGGCAGCTCCTTTCCTTCCAAACTCATGGGGCTGTCACCTACAGATAGACTTCCAGACATCTTTGTTCCCAGGCCCCAGGCCTGCCAGGTGTAGCAGGGTGTTGGATCTTGGCCTGACTTGGCTTTTTCCAAGATGCTGAGATTTACATTCCCACCTGCCATTGAGGAGCTGAGGCCTCTGGCTCCCTCTGATCTGGGGAAGGCAATGCCCCCTTAAGGTGGCCTGGCTCCTAGCCCAGCCTGGTGGTAAGGGTTGTGATGAGTGCATGGAATTGAGTGGGCCCGGGCTGCCTGGGGATCACGTCCAGAAGGCTCCCTGTTCTTGGCCAGATACTCTCTGGTCCCTTAGGTTTCAGACACCCATTTGCAGGCCTGCTGCAGTAGCTGGAATGTAATTTGTCGCTTGTTTAAGGGCCAGGCCTGACAGGGGCCAGACAGGGCTGGGTGTTGGACAAGACTGGTGATGAAGTCTTGATGCAATTTGCAGGCATCTGAAGAACTTGGGAGACAGATTGAAATGTCAGTTCTGGTCATAAGGGCTGTCTTCCCACACCTCTAGCCAGTGACAAGAGGGGAGCTGGGGGCCAGGCAGGGGGAAGACAGGAGCAGAAGGAGATGAGAACAATTCCCGTAGGGTCAGTTCAAGGAAGGAAATAGAGCCAGTTTGAGAGGACTCTTTCCTGAATGGGATGTGGGAAGATTCAGGTTGCCCTCTGCCAACCCCAGACCATTAGCCTGACTGCCCTGTCTGTCCCCATGGAAGCTGCCAGCTGGGTCTTCGGAACATGCCTTAATGGTGTGACTTGCCCGGCTGGGTGTGGCTCAGTGGTTGAGCGTGGACCTGGGATCCAAGCAATCGGGGTTCGATTCTCGGTCAGGGCACATGCCCCGGTTGCGGGCTCGATCAATGACTCTCATCATTGATGTTTCTATCTCTCTATCTCCCTCTCCTTTCCTCTCTCTGAGATCAATAAGGATATATTTTTTAAAAAAAATGGTGTGACTCACAGGCGGGACGGTGCCACAAGTCTTTGCACATGATTGCTCTAGTACAACCCCGCACAGGTAGATCAGCTCAAGGATGACTTGTGTGTGAGCCCCACTCCTAGCACCTGAGCCCCACACCCCCTAGAGGTGACCACAGTTCCTGCTCCATTACACTCTCCTGGTCGCCAACACACACGTGTACTCTGATACAGGCCCACTTGCATGCACACAGCTCCCTCGAACACATGTCCTGGCAACAGTGTGTCCTCACAGACGTGCCTTCCTTCATAGTCACGTGTGCTTCATGCCAATAGTAGTATAATCACATTTTCCCCAAGAGACCATTTGTAGTTTTCAGAGCTCTTTCACACCCATTATCCTTTCAGATCTCACAAAATCTCAATAAGGGAAGCAGGAGGCTGTGTTTACTTCAACTCTGCAGACAAGGGAAACTTGTAATCAGAGAAGTTGAGAGCTCCTCCTTGGGTCACACAGTAATTCCAAGGCAAAGCCAGTACTCCAGGCCGGTACTCCTGATTCCTGGTCCAGGGCTTTGTCTTCATGCACAGCAACCCAGCCCCCTCCCACCAACTGGGAGAAATCCACGTGGGTGTCCTACAGGAGCAGGAAGGGCTGGGCTGGGAAAAGGGGTCACCCCAACTGTTACCACCTGAACTCCCTCTTTAGATTTGCCACCCCCAGGCCAATCTCCTGGTCCAGGGAAAGGACTGGGGCTCTTAAGTCCTGGGATCAAATCCAAGCTCCATCACTGACAAGTTGAAAGGTCCTTGGGCAAGTCACATGACTTCTCTGAACCCCAGTTTCATCTGTTAAATAGGATAATCCTATCCACTTCATAGGGTTGTAAGGACTAAGTTAGATCCTGTCTGTAAGGGGCTCAGCATGGAGTGGGCACAGCATTAACAGTCCTCTTTCGCTTTCTTGAGAAGACCGGGGCCCTACTCTGGTAAAACTGTGGCATTTTTCCATGATGATAGCTGGCTGTGGACCCACCCCACCCTCTCCCTGGCCCAGGTTCTGCAGCTGCTAGGAAGCAGGAAACAAGGTCAAGGGCCTGAGGTACCACTGCCCAGTCTGGCCCATGAGGGAACTTTATGAACCAAGAAAAGGAGCCACCCTCAGAGTGACTGGCTGGGAGGGGCCTTCTGCATCTATTTCAATCTCCTTTTACAGAGGGGAAACTGAGGCCCAGAGAAGGCCAGGGGCTTAGCCCAGTCACCAAGAGGTGGGCTGCAGAGCCAGGACTGGAACTTTAGTGCTACATGACAGCCCCTCTGCTCTGTGTGAACTGATGGTCTTTCACAGATCCTTATGTGGTAGGGCCTGCTTTAGGGATGGGGACAGGGGCCTAAATCCATGGAGCTAGAGCTGCCTGTACCCCTGTGGCCCCCCTCAGATGTGCCTTCCAGGAACCAGAAAGGAGGAGGTTGCCAGAAATCTCACCTCACTGACCCACCACCGTATTCCTGGTGTCCGCACTGGGATTGGTCTTGATCTGTCCCAGAAGGACAGGGTGCTTTGGCTATTAAACTGGCAGCTGGCCTGACATGGGAGAAGTGTGTTCCAATGGAGCCACCTGGGGCACTAGGGCAGGGAGAGTGGGCAGCTGTGCCCAGGCTCCAGATGGTACAGGGAGCAGCCAAGCCAGTATGGAGGCTGGCAGTGGGAAGGCTCTTGAAATGCCAAGCATAGTCAGAAGCATGTTCCAGGCCCAGAAAGGCCTGGAACCCTCAGGGGAGACTGGCTTCTTGGAGAGGGGATGGGACCTATATGGGCTTGTGCCCACCCATCATAAAGGGGCTTCTCTGGACCTCTCAAGAAAGATCCTAGCCCTGTGCCTGAACCCCACTGAAACAGGCAAGACTTCTCTGACCTGGCCTCCTCGCTGTGGGTGGCTCAGACCCTCATCCTCAGCAAGCACAAATAGCTACATCCCTGAAGGGAGGTGGGGGCAGGGGATGAAGCAGGTTATAAGAGGCTGTGGTCCAAAGCTGGGCTGTTAGGGATTCTGGAACCCCTGAGGCTGTTTCTCATGGAAAGGAAATTGAAAAGGTCTTGCCTAGGGCCCCAGACTTTAGCCAAGGCTGCAGTCTCATGGCAGAGGCTCAGCATGATGTCGGGCTGACCAGCACAGGGGTGTGATGTGTGGATCCTTAAGATGCTCCTCTCCTTCCATGATTCCTCCCATCCCCTTGCCCAGATTCTATCCCTCCTGCCTATCCTGAGCCATGAGCCTTTCCCCAAGTCCTTGGCCGGAATTGAACCTGGGACCCTTCAGTCCTTGGGCCACTCAGTGCTCTAACCACTGAGACAAACTGGCTAGGGCCTGAAGGAACAACTTTAAATCCTGCTTTAGCCAGGCTGATTCTGTCCCTTCCCTTCCTGTCCCTCCCTGCCCTGGCCTCAGACTCTGTGTCTGGCCATTAAGGCCCACAAGGTCCCCAAAGACTCTGCCCCACGGTGGTGAGGTGGAGGGTGGGGCCAGCATTTGCCTGCCACGTTTCCTGACACAATCCAGGGCTGTGGCAGGTCTTCCTCTCAAGGTTGCTTGGTAACGGCTTTTGCATTCTGATGAAAAAAACGTGGCAGCAACAGACAACAGACACAGGGCCTACATGAGGAGGTGGGCTTCTAGGGTGGGGCTTGTGCCTGGGCCAGGGCTGGGGCAGGCAGAGCCAACATCTTACCTTGCCCCTTTGTGGAGAGTACCAGGACTGAGGCCAGCCTGGCTCAGTGGGCCTCAGTGGGGATGGTAGGCTTGAGGGGCAGGTGGAGCCACCCTAGGCCTGCAGGGGGGCACCCAGCCTGGCATCTGCCCCCTTCTACCCCTTTCCCCACCACTGCAGCTGGTGCTTTCCACCTGGTGAGCCACAGCCGGTGCCACCTCTCATTAGGTGATGATTTTACATTAATTACCTTAATTAAGCGGCACTGAGTGCTAATGGCTTGAGGGGGGTGGCTCTTCCTAATTACCCTCCCAGTCAGCCCAGAATGAGGGGCACAGGGCTTGGTAGAGCAGGAGCAAACAGTTATAGAAAGAAGGGAAGGGGCCCACCAGTGGTGGGAGAGGGTCCCTCCTCCACAGGGCCTGGCTCAGAGGCCTGGACCTGACATCTCCAGGGGGAGGGCTGGGGGTGCTACCCCAGGACAGGTATAGCTGGCTCTAGGCCCGGGTCCAGGGACTTTGGAGTGGGTAGGGAGCTGGCTGGGAGTGGGGAACAGATAGTGCTGCCCCGTTTCCTGGACTACTCTTCTGCCCCCTTCCCTGTGCTCCTCAGTTGCCTTACTGATTTGTCAACTGTCACCTCATTCCTTCCTTCCTGCATTAGTTGTCTATTCATTCGGTTAGTCCATGGAGAACCCATTCTGGGCCCCTTACTCCAAAGGCACTACTCAAGGCACTCACGGCCTAGCTGGGGAGATGGACAGCTATAAACAGATTGATAGAAGGCAGAGTACTAAGACCTAGGATGGGGGATGCCCTAGGCTTTGGGGATCAGGAGAGAATTTCCATAGAAAGTTATGCCAGGGTTGAGTCTGAAGGGAGGGGATATTAGGATGGCTCTCCCAGGCAGAGGGACCAGCATGTACAACTGGGGCTCGGCCCATTCAGTTAGCTGCCAAGCTGTTTAGTGCCAAGGGGGAGTAGAAAACAATGGTAGAAGTGGTTCAAGATGGGCCCAAAGGGACTGGCCATGATTCAGAGGCCCCTGGGAAGTGTGGGGGTAGGTCGGTTTCATTTGAGAAAACTGCAGTGTGGGTGTAGGAGGGATAGTAAGGGCAAGCGTGAGTGGGGTGACCAGTGAGGCGGTCACTACATCATCTGGGGGAGGGATGTTGGAGGCTGGAGCATGTAGTGGTTGTGGGGATGGAGAGGAGATGCAGGCATACCTGAGTTTTGGGGAGTGTCATGTTGATAGAACTTAGGTGTGAGTTGAAGGGACTGGGGGAAGAGGGAGAGGGAAGGGCCAAGTTGACCTCACCTTGTTCCAGGGACGCCATCCACATTGCACTGTGATGGCCCTACTCCAGGTTTCTGACTAGGGGTCAGTCTCTAAGGACAGGAGTGGGGTGGCAAGCAGGCTCAAAGAACAAAAACGAAGAGCTGGATTTGGGGCATGTGGAGGTCGAGGAGCCTGTGGCACATCCATGAGGACCTGCAGGCTCAGGTTTTGGGATTAAGAGAGATAAGGTGGCCCAGGGAAGTGGGGGTAGGAGGCTGGGGCTGTAGGTCTGACCCCCTCACCAGCTGGTCACCTCTCTGATGGTGCAGCCATGTCTGTCTTCCCCACTTTGCATCCCAGGAGCCAGCATAGGACCTGACCCAGAGGAGCAGTTCAAGGAGTATTTATTTTTTGGAGAGAGTGGAAGGGAGAGAGAGAGAGAAACATCGATGTGAGAGAGACACATCGATTGGTTGCCTCCTACATGCACCCCGACCTGGGCCGGGGATTGAGCCTGCAGCAGGAGTACATGCGCTTGGCTGGAATCAAACCCAGGACCCTTCAGTCTGCGGGTGGATGCTCTAAACACTGAGCCAAACTGGCCAGGGCTGCTTAGGGAGTATTTGCTGAAGGAATGAGTGAATGAATAAATGAGTGAATGGCCAAGCAGCCCTGTGTTCTCTCTACTCAGTTACATAGATTCAGACACCCAATCCCCTGTCCAATGAAGCAGGTGCCCCTTCCTCAGGTTCTCCTGAGCCCCTGATCAAACGCTGGGGGAAGGGGACAGGCACCCTGCAGCCTCTCTCAGCCTAGGACATCGCTGAGGGAGAGCAGTAGCCTCTTTGCTCACTGGCTCAGAATCCAACCATGTTTTAGGCCCATCGCTTAGCCTTGTCCTGAACCCCCCACTCCAACTGATGTTCTTAGCATTCCCACTTCCCCCCATAGCAGTACCTTTCTGGAAAGATAACACACTAGCCCCAGCTTTGCCCCTACCACATCCAGGTCACTCACCTTAATTTCCACACCGTAGCCAGGGTAGACAGAGATGTAGTAGAAACAGTCCAGGCCGACGTCATGGGGTGAACTGGGGGCCACTGGGGAGTCCAGAGAGCCCTCTGGGCCTGAGAAATTCCAGCTACAAGGGCCTGAGAGGCAGGAGGAGACACAAGGCTAAGCCCAGCCCTGAAGAAGTGGGTCCAACTAAGGCTGGCCTGTGTGTGTGTGTGCGTGTGTGTGTGTGTGTACACGTGTGTGTTTGTGTGTGTGTGTGCGTGTGAAGCCCACCTCTTGGGAGGTCTATTCCCTTGTTGAAAGAAGGGAACCACCTTCTCTTGAGCACCTACTGTTTACAATCTTATCTCAGTTCTCACAATGGCTCAATGAGGTAGGTATTCTTATCGCCATTTTACAAATGAGGCTTAAAAGGCTTAAATAAAGTTCCAAGGGTCTGGTGTAGTTGCTTCCAATCAGGATTTGAACCCAGGTCTATCTGGTTCCAATCCGCATGCCTCCTGCATTCTGGCCCTTGGTATCGGAGGGCAAGGCAAACTGGCACAGTGATGGAGAGAGGAATTTAGGGCCCCACAGCTCCCCCATCTCCAGATCTGCAAGCCAGCAAGTAGCTGACCTGGTGGCTGGACTGTGGTGATAGTGGTGGTGATGATGGTGGTGGTGGTGGCCTCCTCATCGTCCCCTGAAGCTGTGGAGGTGGCAATGGTCCCCTCGATCCCAAGCCCTGTGGTCCGGGACATGACCTCTGGAGCCCATGGCCTGCCCATGTCTCCAGGACCCTCTTGGGTTGGAGTCCATGCTCGGCTAGGGGGTGTAGTAACGGGCCTCTCCCCTGGGCCTGTGGTGGGCACTGCCATGCTGGGCCCTGGAGGCAGGGCAGCTGTGATATGAAGCATGGGGGGCTCTGGCTCCAGGCTCCAGGGTCCTTCCCTGGACTGGGGCTGAGTGGGTGCTGCGGCTATGGCTGGAGTAGGGCTGGTGAAGGCCGGGCGGCTGTCCTGGTTGGCCAGGCGGGGAAGGGGGCTTGGGGTGTGTGGCGTAGGTGGGTCAGGCTGAAAAGGCAGTGCCGGCCTCAGCTCCTCGCCTGTCTCCAGCCCCTCCTGTAGGAACTCCTCGAGCAGTGGGTGGTGGTTGAGCAGCTTCAGGGTGGGAGCGGTTGTGATGAAGTGGATGCCTCGTTCTGGCTGCTCAGGTGTGGGGGCTGCTGTCCACTCCCCGTCCGTCTCCTTGATGCCTGGGGCCTGACCTTCCCCCATGGTTGGGGTCTCTGAGGAGAGCCCTGAAATGACAATGATCATCAGAGGTTCTTCCAGCGCCCCATGGAGAGCAGCATCATACCCTATCTAAGCAAGAGGAGGTTCGTTTCTCTTTGGACAGAGAGCCTTGGGGAGTATGCTCCCCACTGAGAATCATGGAACTACAGAATTTTAGAGCTGGAAATGAGATGATATCACATACTCCAAGGATGGCACATGAGCTATCCTTTCCCCTTCAGCACCAGAAGTGGACATTACTTTCAATTATTGCACTATTTCCTGTTTTCAGGTTTGGCCTCAGAATCCTTCTCAACACAGCACTCCAGGCAGCCATGCTTAATGCCTCAGACGGACGACAAATAAATATTTGCCATAAAAATGTAGCTCAAAGGCCTGATTTGGCTGATGAGGAAATAGGCCAAAGAAAGGAAGTGACTTGTTCAAAGCCATGTGACCAGTCAGTTGACCTGAGATGATACCCTTAGCAAGAGTGCCATTTCTGACCACAGTGACTGTTCCGTCTGAGATAATAGTTATTTTTTGTTCTCAGTGAAACTGCTGGTCATTAGCCTCAGGAAATGCTTCATATATTTGGGATTTTATTTTAGATTCCCTCATGTGTACATGACATCTTTGTTAGGGTTCCATTATGTCTCATTGTCCCATTTCTCTCACTTCTCAGTCACTTCTCTCTCTCTCTCTGGTCCTAGGACAGTAATGTAAACAGAGTGGGAAGAGCCAAACTCGAGTATGGCAGATGTGGCTTCAAATCCCAAATACATCACTATGGGGCTGTGTGACCTTGGGCAAATAACCTAAACTCTCTGAACCTTAGTTTTCTCATCTGTATAATGGGGTTTCTTTTTAGGATTAACTGAGATACTATTACTTCCCTTCGCTATTTGATACGTCTCTCTGAATTCTCTTTATCTTTCCTGTGACACTAGCCAGGGCCCATCTAGGGCAGGGTCTAAAGCAGGGAAGGAATGGTCATCTGGTATGCTACCCCCACTCCCCCATCCATGGCAGACATCGTTAATCGATTTTGGTAATTTCTTGCTGAGGCCACGTGGGACTTCAGAATCCTTCTCGGAACAGTTTTCCAGGCAGCCACTACCAATGGATTAGATAGACTATGAAAGATGAAACTTATTTGCTATTGCTGGTCTGAGGTTGTTCTGCTATTGATTGTATTGATTTATTCAACCACATAGCTGGAGAGATGATACATATTCTGCTTGTGGCCCACTAGGCTCCCCAGATCGTTAACTACAGTACTAGGAAAAGGTCAATGGATGTTGTCTCCAGATTCAGTTCCTCTAGAATTTTGCCAGCTCTGAGGTGGCTGGGAGGCTATTTTGATTCTAACATCTCTCAAAATGGCTGCATGAAGACTTGAAGGGAAACAGCCAGGGCGAGATAGCTTGCAAGGAGAAGGTCGGCTCCTCTGCATGCCTGGTGGTGGGTGTCATTCCACAGGCTCACACCCACCCCATGGATTGGCAGGCTTGAGGAAGTGGCAGATGGCCTGCATTCTGTTCAGGAGACTATGGCAGCTCTGATGTGTCAGACAGATGGGAGGAGGGAGGAAACTGGGGCGAGGAAGGTGGGTACAGGTCAGAGGGCTCTCCATTCCACGGGGTTAGAGGGGATTTGGTGCCTCAAAGCCCTGAGAAACCAGGACCAACGCCTATCTCCTGAGGTGCCCACTGAAGCAGTCCATCTGTGCCTTAGCCTTCTGTGCCAGACACTGACAGCACAGTGCCCAAACTAGATGTCCAGCCAGGCCCAGACCCCCTGGAGCAGATGGTCGCCAGTGCCCTGTGTCTATCATCTGAGTCAGTGACGGAAGGTCTAGGCGGTACCATGCCGGGACAGGGCTACGGTTTTTATCCACCCCCCAGATGTCACATGGTCTTTGCCAGGTGAGCCGAGACTGATCTTAGCATGGCAGAAGGAAGAGGAGCCTTTCTCACTAGCCCCTGGGGCTCCAGTGTCCTCTTCCAGGGTTGCCCAATAAGATACATGGCCTGTGGCTCCCAGGACAGTTACCTGTGGGATCCTTCATTGGGAGAGGGAGTGCAAAGGGGTCCTCTTTCTCAGGAAGGGACCATAGTGGGCACAGGTCCTCCTGCCAGCTGCCAGGTGGGTGCTGGGCAACGGAGCAGAGCTAATGGGCACCTCTCGTCACTGTCGATTGCACTGATTGTGTTATCTGGGGGGACTGAGCACTTGGTTAAATGGGATCGAGATAGCATATCAAAGAGCAAATTGATTCTGCAATCAGCTGCCACTTGGTCTCTGAGGGTGCCACCCACTGTCAGAGATGTAAGATAATCTCAGGGAGACAAGCCAGTTCTGGGTAGAGGGCATCTTCAGACACCCTGGTTAACTCTGATGGAAGCCTGAGGCCCTGTGACACTCCCTACCCCCCTTCTCTCTGTCTGGGCTAGACTGAGTTCAAAGGTATAGAGACTGACAGGGGGAGAGTGTGTGACGCAGGGGACAGCAGAAGGAGATATCAGGGACTCAGATGTCCAGTCTCATCAGGCACCTATTGTGTGCCATACACTGAGTCGGGCGGTTCCCACATCTTGTATTATTTCATTGACCAAACGACTCTGAAATGAGAATCTTATTCCTGCATTACAAGCAAAGAACCTGAAGCCTAGAGAGGTGAGGCAAGTGGCACAGTGGTGGAGCTGGGATCCGAACTGTGCAGATCTGGCTCCAAAGCTCTAGTCTTTCCACACCAGCCTGCCTCACAGGAGAAGAGACTGCAGCTACCCAGCAGAGAACATCCTAGCCAGTGGAGGAAACTAAGGCCTAGAGAGAGGAATGGACTTGTCCAAGGTCTCATGCAAGTTAGAAGTGGAGCTGGGGTCATAGTCTCTGGCATCTGGGACCTGAGCTGAGCCTCAGCCGAGCTGGACTGGAACCCAGGGAGCACCCACCCCACGCCCGAAGCACAGTTGAGTCTGAGACCCAAACCAGAGACCCAACGACACTGCTCCACAGGCAGGGACAGAGTCACACATACCCAGGTTCATTCAAATGTCAGCTCTGCCACTTAAAAATCATGTGAGCCTGGGCAAGTTTATATGTCATTGGTTGTAAAATGGGCACTTTGGAGAGGTTTTATGAGGATCTGAATGCTCTAAAAAGCAGTTTCTCAAGGGGCACTGAGAGAGAGGCTGTACTGTACTATGAGGCTGGGCAGCCCCCTGCCAGGGTAACACTGAGAGGCAGGCCTCTAGGGTGAGGAGGTTGCTGGCCAGGGCGAGGCCTCTCTTCTCTGGGGGACCATTTTCCTTGTGCAGCTGAGATGTGGAGGACAGTACTGTACCACCCCTGCGAACCGTATCCACCTTCAAGGCCTGCATGTCTGTGGGGGACAGGGTCTTGGCTTACAGCAAGACAGTCCCCATGATGATCCCTAACTGCCCAGTCACCTAGTGCCTGAACACAATGCACTCCCTTCCCATTCCCACCCCCCTCCGCCAATCCAGGGCTGCAGCATCCAAGAGGGCTGGGTCTGGGAAACACCACTCCCCCCTCTCTATCTTCTCGGGAGAGGAGGCCTGAGCTTCCTCGCAGCCCCCAGCCCTGGAGTGGCCCTGCAGCCGCTCGGGCCCTCCCCCTGCATTAGCTCTTAAGCTATGCAAATAGACATCGGAGGGAGCCCTGTTTAAAGTATTTAGACGAAATGAAAAAAGGCTTTCATCGGCACTAATGAGCCATTCAGGATGCTTCCCCGGTGGATTCGCTCCCTCTCCTGCCTCCTGGCCCGTGCCACCCCCCTCTTGCCCCTCTTGGGATTGGAGGCCCCTCCCTCCCAGCCCCAGCCTGGGCCTCCCAGGGAAGGCCTCCGGCTCTGCCCCCTCTACCCCAGGCCCAGCTGGGTAAATGTAGAGATAAGAGCCCATGTATTCCACCCCTGACAGACTCAGATTGGCGTGGGGGGAGGGGTGTCTAGTCAATGTTTAGGGTAAGCCAAAAAATGACTGGGGGGACTCTTCTTCCGAGCATCCAGCTAGGTAGGTGTTACTGTTATTGTCTTGTAGATGGGGAAACTGATGCTCAGTGAGGCCCAGGAGGCTGCCAAGGATCACAGCACTGTGAAGCTGCAATTGGTCTGTGTGGAGGCAATGATGAGGGGTCAGGGTCCTTGCCTGGGGGAACTGCTGCACCAGGCAACAGTTTACGACTCCAGATACCATCTCAGGGCCAACTGGGCTGTCCCTGTGGTGCTGTTTTTCTGCAGGTCTTTTTGTACTATCCAGCCAGAAAACCTCAGCTTCCGATCCTGAGTCTGTCTGACGAGGGCAGGGGGCTGTGCCCACTGAGCCATCTGACCTGGGCAGGGGGATGTGCCCGCTGAGCCTCTTTTTCTTCATCTGAGGACTGAGGACATCTTCGGTTTGGTGAGGGCCATCTAGACAGGCGTGTGCTCTCATCTGCCAGCTCCACCCCATCCTCTGCAAGGGCAGCCCCTGCAGAGGTGCCAGGTATTCCCCTTCTGGGCCTTAGCTGCTGGCCCCTTGGAAGACACAGGACAGAGCCGAGTTCTGAGATGTCAGATTTGATTCCCTCCTTGTGGCAGCACAAGCTCTGGGGTGACAGCAGGTGGGTACAGGGGGAGCCTGGGGACTACAGTGGGCAAGGAGCCTACCCCTTTGGGTTCTGGAAGTTAAGCTGGCCCAGCATAGGGAGAATGAGAATTTAATGGGATCCATTTATTAGCCTATAAACATTAATGAGTTTATTCTGGAGGTTCCTTGGCCCCTTTGAAGTTTTAATAGGGGATTAGGAAGGGCCTGGCTCCTGCACACCCCCATTATCTCAGAGCCCAAAGGAGGGAAGAGGGGCCCTGGGAGTGAGAGCGCTTGAGTTCCCCAGAGCCAGAGCCTGGTCTCCACAGTGACAGCTTCACTGGGCCAGGCCAACTTGCTGAACTAAGGGGCCCCGGCTGGAGTCTTGCAGGCCAAATAGGATCCCTGAAGCCCTAGGCCAGGTCCAGTTC